GCCCCAACGGCCGCCCCGCTCCGCTCGCTCTCCGCTCCCCGCGCCGGGCAGCCGGCACCCTCGGGGCCGGGCCCCCCGCCCCGGGATAGAGACCCGCGGGTGACATTTTATCGGCTGCTTTTGACTTTACGTTACGTGTGGGGAGGAGGAGGTTTGGGTGTGGGACGCAAAAAATCGCCACCGAAGCGTTCGCAGCTCGGCACCGGGCCTGCATCTAAGGTCTCCGAGCAGCGGCCGGCGGGCGTTTATCAGCCGACTCACGTCAAAACACTCCACTCTCTGACTGAAACCGTACGCCGCGATTGTAGCCGTGTCTGCACATAGCACAGGCAATACAGCGCGATGTCCCCGGACTCCCCGCTTCTGTGTGGTGCGCCAGTTCCAGTCAGCGGCGGATGCGGCGCTTGGGACAACCCCAAATGGGGCAACCAGAAATGAGTTTTCTGGCATTAGGTGCCGCCAGCCCCACGCACGTCCAGGCGGCGGTGTGCTATAACGTGTTTTATGTGCATGTTTCTATTCCCTTGTGGTAGGTCTTTCCAGTCAGGGATGGAAAATGCCTACCTCTCGCTCTGAGGTCTGCACTCCACACGTTGTGCAGAGAGACGCAGCTGCGGGTGAAGACGGAAGGCGTGATCGATAGACTTGAAATACAGAAGAGAGAATAATCCAGATCGAAAGACTTCGTCTAAAGTCACGAGCAAATAAATGAATGCAGATGTTTAAAGAACAAATAATATGACAATAATGAAGATTATTGCTACCGAGCATGACATGAGACTTCGCAGCATCACTTCATGTTGGGAGTTAAGAGCAGACCCTTTGAATATGGGATTCCTCGAGCAGCATAAAAGGCTGCCACAGGTCACTCCAGGCTGTCTCTGAACTGTAGCACAGATGTATTTTGTGCTGTGACCCTTGGTCCTGATCCTGTGATATCCCAAGGTGGGATCATATTGAGTACAATAGCAAGCCCCTGATACTTGTCAGCAGGTTTCTTGTTATCGCAGAAAATAGGCATAAAGTACACACATCTAGTCTTGATATGAGGTCAGGACAGGACTGGGGCATCATCTGGGGAGAGTACCTGGGTCCCACAGTTCCAATGCTGCCACGACAAAATCCCTGAAAACCAAGAAGTGAAAGCCACTACCTCTGAGTCTCACAGCCCGTATAGTGCAGTGTTGTGTCTTCATCCTTCCTTCCCTCATTTGCAATATGTTTGTAGTTGCTTTTAAAAGTGTGTAGGTAATTATGAACCCCTTTCAGGCCCTGAGGCACTAGGTGAGTGCTAGTTCAGCATGTGGCCTGATATTGGTGTTGTGTGAAGCTGCAAACCCTTTACCAATGCTGCTGTCAACTCTTCTGATGCTACTGCAAACTTAGCAGGGATTTCTTGGGTTTCCCAGCTCCTGGAATATGGAAACAACAAGGTTTTACTTTGTGCAAAGGGACAAGGGAGAATTGGCCTGGGTTTCTTTGCTAAGTCTGCTCCTTTGTTGATAAGGAAAAAAGTACAAAGTTATCCTGTACAGAAAAAGGAGACAAATTAAAAAAGCCTCCCAATTTTAGTTTTCTGTGTTCATTTTTTGCCTTGGTTAACCAGTTCCCGACTTGTTTACACTTGGGGTTAACTTCAAGGGTAAGCTGGAATGAATAAAAATCTTTTCCCTGTGCTTCGGCAATGCTGAAATGGGATAAGGAGGACACAGTATCACTCTGCGATGTTCCCAGAAACGAAGCTTCAACCACCCAAGGGCTCCTTGCAGGCAGCTGTGGATACTCCAAAAAGAGGATTGCTGGACTTTTTGCCACTTGCCTGCTGGCCTCTGTGATCCACTGTTTGTGGGGCTCTGGTTCTCCCCTGGTCCCCAGGAGCTCAAGCACCATTCAAGCTTCATCTTTTCTCTGGATGGCCGTCTAGCCTGTTTACACAACGGTTGGTGGTTAGAGGAGAAGCAACAGTAATCTTTGCTCTTTTCTGATGTCAAAGCACATCAGCTCTCAGAACAAACTCTTCATATATTTATCAGTGCCAGGTGACTCATGAGTGGCTTGAGCACAGCATGTCTGAGCAGAAAGATGGTGCAGACACCAATGCTGCGGTGTACTGTGAGTTTGTGCTGGGAGGGGAGGCAAGCCAGTTGCTGAGCCACTGAGAAACAGGCGAGTCCAACCACGCGCTGATGCCATATAAGAAATGGTGTGTAGATCAGGTTTTGCACTTGATATTCGGCAAACAGTAACTGAAAGTGAATTAAGGATTGGATATGTAGTAACATTAAACTTTCAATCACAGTGCTCAAGGCAAGGTAAGAAAAGACAAATGCTCACATAACCCTTAAGGTACTTGTTTAAGTAAAACACCTGTGTATTGGCAAGTTTGGAGAGCCTAACCTGGGATGAATTGTGCTTACACTTAGCGATGTTGGCTGAACCTGTGACACCAGATATCCCCAAATTGTCAGTTACAACCCCACAACTATGAGAAATGGTCTATAAGTCAGTGGGCTATATTTTAAAACCTTTTTTACTTGCACTCTGTTTTGGAGTGCTCAGGGTTCACATTAACAAGCTTTCTTCCACAAAGGAGTAACAGGAGAGAAACTTAGTTTAAAGATATTAAACAGAAGCTGAAAGTTCTTACGTAATCCCCAGCTCACATAGCTGAGTTTTACAAATAGATACAGAAGCAGAAAGATAAAAAACAGTTGGGTGGGAGCCTTTGAAGACTCCTGTGTTTGCTAAATCCTTAATTTTAAAACAGTTTAAAGCCTTTGTATTTGAGCATACCAGAGCCAAGGGCCACCCTTGCAAAGCTTCACTATAAAAAAAAGAGTATAAAGTGTGCAACACCCCACTGGTCAAGAGCTGAAAAACTCTTGTCCTCATATCATTGACTGGGACTTTCTCTGTTGCTAGTAAACTGCTTTTTTATTAATATAGGCAAGCTAGAGTGTCACAAGGCAGTGAAAATTTTTCTACTGACTATAACAACCTCTCAGTCACATGAGGAATCCTAAGTCCTGGATATTTATATTAAAACCTGAAGACATGTAATCAGTGATAAATAAAAAAAGAGTTAGCCTTACTTTAGAAAGCCTGTACAATCTAGTGTTTGCCTAGCTTTGCTAGCCAAAGATTTTGGTAACGTAGACATTCCCAAGAATTTACTCTTTCCTCTCCCTTTCTAAGCAAAGCTGTGCACATAAGGTTTAAGAAAGCATACATGTTTGTATCCGAACTCGTATCTGAGCTCTCCCTGCCCATGCAGTCCAAGTATGTGAGGTTGAAAATAAGAGGCAAGCAGCAAATTCAGCTTTCAATCTGTACAAAATACATGTGCACAAGTCTGGCCCTAGCTTTTGGGTTGCAAAATGACAAGTCTGTTGCTTTTGTTGTTAACTGCAGTACACCTGCATCTCCTTTTTATGGGGTCTTCTGGAGAAAAGGCAGTGAAGTAGATTGGCTTTAAATTAGTCCAGATGACACATGGTCCCTACAAGGTATCACCCTCTAGAAACATGAGCTAAGTGGAAAAGCCTGAAGAGCCAAAAGCCAAGGACTAGATTTACTGGATAACCTGAACTAAAATGTGGGCCCATTACTATTTTTCAGGGTCATTGGAGCAAAGCACTAAACCTGGGGAATATCTTGGGATTACTCCATGCCCTGATTGAGCAGTCCCTGCCATGCATTGATGTTTCCTTCCTGTGCAGAACTCTTCCTTCGTTGTCACATGGCTGCTTCTGACCCTCCTCCATCTTGCTGGCCAAACCGCTCTGCATTTTGCTGGGTATCTGCTCTCTGATTTCTCCTGCCATTAACCTGAATCCAGCATCTGATGCCCAATATCTCTTGAATTTCAGGGTCTCCGCAGAGCCCTTCCCGGTGCCTAACTCTTTTCTTCAACTGTACAGATTTTCTTCAGCAAGGACTAAAGTTGAAAAAGGGAGAGGTTCTAAGCATCAGATATGCTGATAATATGCCTAATGAGCTCATCTTTGATAGCCTAGGCCATTAAAAGCTGAGTCTTTAGGTATGATACTGCTTTTAAGGCTAGAAGGAACTACGGGATTGTCTGGCCCAAGACAATGTATTAACTTGGCCTTTTAGATGCCACACACCCTACAGCTTGAAATCATTATTGAGTTCTTATTATGTGAGCAGGCTGGTTGCTTAGAGATGAGATATCCATTTTTTTCCTCTTCTCAGAGCCATCAACTCTGATTATATTTGAAGTATTTTCTATGGTTTGGGGTTTTGTGGGTATATGAGAGCCATAACGTCGACCAAAAAATGCCTTTGGCCTGATGGCTGCATGGAACAGTTTGAAAATGACATCCACCTGAACCCTAAGGATGAAAACCCCATAGGCAAGGAGAAAGGATCCCAAATATATTACTGATATAACAACTCATGATTTGACTTGTCATGGTTTTTGAATGCTTGGAGTTATCATTATTCCATTTTAACAATTAACTTCTTCCTATTATCAGAAGGTGAAGCAAATATAATTTTGACACATTGTCTAATTTACTAGGCCACTTTTGTAATATTTTTATGATGCTAAAATAAAGATTTCTCATGTTGGATATTGTCAGAAACATCTATCA